TAGCCATGTGATGTGAGTATCAGTCACATGGAGGCAGGGCTTAAAAGCCTGAATTTTGCCTGAAACTCTCAGACTGAAGAAGTCTCTTGGAGGAGAGACGGAACGTTTCATTAGAGAAGAACCCGTCCAGAAGAACTATACTATTTTTTTTCTTTTTGATTTTTTACCTGGGTTATTGAGATGCATCAGGACATTACTACAAAATGTTTGTCTGTTTTTAAGTTTTCTCCTTCGTTCAGTCATTGGAGATTTATTTAGACTTTTTAAATTGGTCTCACTCAGCCTTCTGCTCCTCAGGAGGCCGTAGCGTCTGGCTTTGAGAGGGAGTACGAGCTGTTCGGGACTCCGGAGAGCTACTTCCAGCAGCTGCCTGTCATGCTGCATCACAAGAGACAGAAGCTGGCCTCGTGCCTGCAGAGAGTCGGCCTGCAGCCCGTCATGCCTGAGGGAGGATATTTTATGATCACAGACATCTCCTCCATCAGTATGTGACAACAAATACCGAGCTGGGTGTTTCTGAAACCTGCTGTTGTCTTGTTGTGTGTTCATTTATTAGTTTTGTTTTTTTATTTGTAACAGAAGTGGACCTCAATGATGAGAGTACCAAGGATGAATCGTATGACTTTAGATTTGTCAAATGGCTAATTAAAGAAAAGGTAAAGATTTCATTAGTTTAACATAAGAGAAAGTTTTTGTTTTCACCCAACATTGATGTCTTTTCTTCCTCCAGGGTTTAGCGACAATCCCTGTCTCTGCTTTCTTTAGTCCAGAGCACAGCAAGGAGTTTGACAAATACATTCGCTTCTGTTTCGTTAAGGTGATCAAAAGCAACAGTAACGTAAAATAAAATAAAATAAAAAATTCACAGCATCCTTAATCAGACTTTTTGTTTGCTCCTGACAGGAGGACTCGACCTTGGACGCAGCGGAGGACATTTTGAGAAAGTGGAGTCAGAAGAAGTAGAACAAGCTGCTTATTATTATTGTTTGACCCATCTACTCAGACTAACATCTTCAACCTCCTCAGGAAAAATCTTTATGAATATTCAGTGTTTTTGTGTTTGTTCGCAGAATTAGAATATCAAATTATACACCTGTAGAAAATATCTTGAATGCAGAAATATTTGTCTGACCTCCAAGCATGCAAAAATTGTATTAAAGCTTTTAAGAAATCATTCGTTTGAGCAGGTTGTTACACTTCCTTTTAAATGCTGTTGAACAAAACATTTTATGTCCAATCAGACCCCCTCAGAAAAAGAACATATGAAGAAAGACAGAATTGAATGAAAATACAATGAACTGGTTAACAGAAACCCCTCTATTCATTAATATTTCTCTGCGCGGTTCACCATTTAGTTATAGACCAATAACTAGTTATAATTCTAGTATTAAAGCCTTGTTACAGACTAGCAAATTTGTTCAGTTTCTTGTGTTTTGAAATATGAAAAATAAACTACAAATGTGTTCTGTCTCTGAATAAAATATCACTTATTTTTTTTTACAGAGGATTTATAATTCAATCAAATCAATCAATCTTTATTATTCAGACACATACAAGGTCCATAACAAACAAAACAATAATAATAATAATAATAATAATAATAATAATTTGTTTGCTATGCATTTTGAAAATAAGTTCCACAAATAGCATTTGGTTTATTTGTTCTAACGATTTTGTTGATGTTTTTAACAATACACGACTTAATCGACATTAATAAACACATAAATAAATTATAAATAAATTAATATTAAACCTTATGATGTTTGACTTTTATTCTGAAAGCCAAATGTAAACCCGGAAGTTAATAAGCCTCGTGCATCACGAAGGAAAAATGTCTGCCACCAGTGCGATAAAAAAGCTCAAACCTGTGGTGTCTCAGGTACTAACTCGTGTTTGCGTAACATGTCCGTGTGTGTGCATTTACTTATCTGTGCTCTAATGTTCCTCTCGTCTTTAGCCTGAAGAAAAGCTGAACTGGAGGAAAAGGAAAACTGAATGTGAGTAGATCACAGTAACACGCCGACCACTTTGTTTGATATGTGTCAAAGTAAAATATTGTTTTAATATACAATTGAATGTAATATCTCTGTAATATCGGTCACAGCTGCTGTGTATGGAGGACCGAGTGTCGCCAAACGTGCCAAATTTAATTCACTTATTTGAAACCATCCCGCTGGACAGCGCATGCGCGTAGTAACTGTGCGGCTCTAAAGGTTGAAAACGCTCCAATCTCGCTGTTAGATGGTTTTCAATAGAGGTATGCAGTTTAGTTTATATTAACTGATTCCCCAAATCATTTGGGTTCTTCTTATTTACTGAATGTGGTCCTAACAAAACTATACAGAAAATTTAACTTTGATTTTTGGAAGCGGTTACTGAATGAGTACAAACAAATGTTGCATTAGGCCCTGTCACATTATATAGGGAAGTGGATAAATTTTTAATCCTACACCAATATTAAATCTGACAGCGGATTCCAAAAGAACATTTCAAACCATACAAAATATCACCAAAATCATGTGATTATCTGAAGTATGAGGGAAGTTATTGATGTTTGTTTAGGTGAAATCAGCTCATGTTTTCTTGCTGCAGTTCACAGCAGAACCAATGTGACCATTTCACCTGCTGTTTTCTAATTTTGCTCATAACTTCCTCAGTTTTCAAGATATCGCCATGAAATTTTAGGAAAAGATTCCCATTCTGGTTTTATAGGAAGCATCTTGTACCCAAAAAAACTAATAAAACTTAATAATAGCCAATTCAAAAGTAGCAGAAAAAGGTATAAAATAACATTACAAGGCAAACTGTAGCATCAAATCAACTTAATGTGTCTTAGAAAGTAAGGAAATGAAAACAATTTAAAAGCCACATGGACATCTGTTTTGTAAACAAAGCTCCTCAACCAATGACAGCGTGTTAAATGTGTCAGGTGACGAAGACGAGCGTCAAAACACTTTGCAACAAGTGCTATTCCAGGTAAAAAAAAAAACATACTTCTACGTTTCAAATCATTATCAATTTTGGAAGAAGGGCAGATAAAATAATGTTCTTCATGGCAGATTATCTATTTAAGGGGTCACTAGAAAAACTCGGGTGATTTACTTTGATCCTCTATTCAAAAAATTGTCTTCAAAACGCATCAACAAAAATTAAAAACTCGAAGACGAGGCTGTAGCTAACTACCTGACGGCAGCCCGATTTGTTGAAATTCGTAGAAATAATGAAGCAGGAGGAAATTACAAGCAAACGCATCGAGCAGCGTTGCAAAATCTGGTCACAGCAGTTTGGGAAGAAAATGGCAGCAGCTGCTGACAAAATGTCAACATCCCTACATTATAAGGTTTCAGACAACTCATGCAGACTTGTAAAATTTGTCTTATGACTGAATTACTAATATACAGGGTGGGCCATTTATATGGATACACTGAAATAAAATGAGAGAGTCCAATTTAATACAGTCAACAAAACATTACAGCAGACATTATTAGTCCTAGTTGTTGTCCAGGTGAAAAGCCCACTTGGAAGTCACTCTCTTCCTGCAGGAACAATTAAACCAGCGTGGAATGCTTCATGGCTATAATATATGGTTTATGGCTTGGTGGTGTCCCAAAGAACTGTCTGGTGTTATATTTTGTCCTGTACGTACACAAAGAGCACACACTTGGTCCTGTTAAAACTCAGGAAGGGTCATAACTTTATTGAACTCTGGTGGGAAAATGAGAGTTCAGCTCAGTCTGGGAACCCGTGCCTTCGGCATCACACATACACGTCCGGGTGGGACATAAACTCAAAATAATAGTTCCTATAGTTACTCCTGGTACCTGCTCAAAATTCTAGCTCCTCATCTTGTCTCATAATTAGGAGATGAGTCTATTTTTTTACTTGGTGAATGCTATGCTCTTTCTTAATAGTGTTACAGGGCCTAAAGATGAAATATACTTGTAAGTTGGGGTCTACGTTAGGGCTGTGTATTGGCAAGAATTTGGCGATACGATACATATCATGACAGAGGGGTCACGATACGATATATCCCGATATATTGCGATTTCTTTTGTCCAAAAATTCTATTAAATAAAAACCTCTTACTGGGGGTAAAAAATAAAAAACTAAAATTCATGGTCTCCGAAAATTCTATTACATAGACATACTTTTGATACATTTAGCTGTGTTCTGCTTTGTAGGTATTTAATTTTATTTGTTTCATGTTTCTTATTTCATCCATGTTTTCAATTATTAGACTATATTTGCCAATAAATAGTTTGAAAATATATTTTTTGCAGCTTTTAGTTTTTAATATTAATTTACAATATGGTCACCCAACACTTAACAATAGCCTCTACCTCAAGAGGTAGAGTAACCAAATGACTGGCTCACTGCTGCCAACTAGTGGTCAGAGGCTGAACTACAACATAAAATGAACGGCTGGCAGGAAAGTTGACTTTTTAAACCTTAATAAAAAAATCGATACAGGGCTTTAGAATATCGATACAGTATCGGGAAATGAAATATCGCGATATTTCAGTGTATCGATATTTTCTTACACCCCATAGTCTACGTCTGGTGATATTCCACAGCTATTAGGAACAATAATAAACTCTAGTGACCAACCAAATATCTTTTATAATTTGGTTATTTATTTTATTATTTTTATGTTAATATATCAGGCAAATCCCATTGAGATCACAGATCTCTTTTGCAAGGGAGACCTGAAGGCAACATATTGTACATGTTTTTGTATTGTACATTGAAACCCCCCACAGAAAGTACCCAGGTTCAAACTCGGGGTCGAACCCAGGACTTTCTTGCTGTGAGTCATCATTGCTAACCACTGAGCCACCATGCTGTCATGGTCAGGTTGGCAGAGGCAGCAGGTCTGTGAGAGAAACCCTGGTATTCCTCTCTCCAGTTTCTTCTGGGGGATCCCAAAAGGTTCCCAGGCCAGAGAGGAAATGCAATTCTCCCAGCAAGTTCTGGGTCTGCCCTGGACATCTTTCCAGTGCCACCCCACCCCCCACAAAAAAAATAAATAAATAAAAATTGCAGATGCGATTGCGATGCAAATTAAAATGTTCACTGATATTTGATTTGATTATTTTTTTATAACAGTGAATGAGCGTAAGAAGGAGTGGAAAAGGGCAAAACTCATCAAACAATTAGAAAAGCAGAAACAGCGAGAAGCTGCAGAGAACAGAGCAGCTGAAGAAAGTCAAAGCAACAAAGGTAAAATTATCACTTACTGATCATTTCTATAATGTTAGCATTGTTAACCGGGACTTGTGTTTTTTGATTTCAGGCCGATCTTATACGGTGAGCGTAGCGCTCCCTGGCTCTGTCCTGGACAACGCTCAGTCCCCAGAGCTACGAACGTACCTGGCGGGACAGATCGCTCGAGCCTGCGTGGTGTTCTGCGTCGATGAGATAATTGTGTTTGACGAACAAGGGGAAGACGTCCAGTAAGTTGTCAGTCACAATCAACATAATGCTTTAAATCATCACAAGCCAGAGAGAATCAGCTTGTTGTTTTTATTCCAGGAGCGTTGAAGGTGAATTTAAAGGCGTTGGGAAAAAGGGCCATGGTTGCATTCAGCTTGCCAGAATACTTCAGTACATGGAGTGTCCACAGTAAGCAGTCAAATCAATATGAACAGTGTTACTGCACGTTATCGCATCGAGATTACAGCTTCTGTTCGTCTCCAGGTATCTGCGCAAATGGTTTTTCCCAGTGCATAAAGATTTACAGTATGCAGGTAATGTGAAACAGTCGACATTTCACTATTATACAGGGTGAGTCAAACGTCTCAGGACACCTTTTTATTTCAGAAAGAAAAGGGAAAATAAAATATCTGAATACCCCAGCAAGTAGTGAGTGAGGGGACCTATCATGGCAGTTTCTTGAAAGCCGCCACATTGGGTCAAAATAACAGGGTGTCATGTGACTTTTGACTCACCGTGATGACTGCTGCCACACTGTCTACAGGTAATTTCAGTCGAAAAGCATTTAGAGGATTTTTATTAACAGGTAGAAAGTCTTTTGTTGTAAAATGTGCCGCAGCAGGAACTCATCAAAGCTGATGAAGTGCCACTCAATAGAACATTCTGAGTGTATGAAAGTAAAGCACTCTAAAAGTTTAGGCCCTCTTCCTAAAACATCACCATCTCCCCGTTAGCAGCTGTGCTGAGCAAACAGAGACGTGTATGGCAGGCTGTTTTAACATACGATCGGCTTTAGCACACGTACATTCCAGATATTTGAATTTGGTTTATGACTAGAAATAGTTAATTAAGATATCTCTAATTATATTTTGACTTGGCAAAATACCTACCGTAATTCATCTGATTACATTCTGACTAGTATAAAAGATGTCAGATTTACCATTAAGTTGTCTAATTGAAGATGTCTGCCATAATTTATTGACTATCTAAAACACATTTCAGATATCAACAATTAAATTATAACTAAATTTGATATTTCTCATTTTGTTCTGATTATTCGTAATTCCAATTAAATATGTCTTAAATGACATCATGTTTGTAGGTACATAAAATATTGGCAGTGTTGGAAGTTTTTCTGACTTTATTTCTAAATTATATTGTATCGACTGAAATTAGGAATGATAATATCATTCCTGATCATGGTATGTTTTAGCCATATCATCCAGCCTTATCCCAAGATTAAGTTAACTGTCTAAAGATATGTTAAAATACTGATAATATCTAAAGACTGCATGTTTTTAAGTTGGTCTGTTTTTTTTTCTGCTAGGTTTGCTCAACCCTCTGGACAGTCCTCATCACATGCGGATAGACGAAGAGTCAGAATACCGAGAAGGACGAGTCCTCAACAAGCCGCCCAAACAAGGAAAAGGATCATTAGTCAACTGTGGAATGAGGAAGGTGACTGTAACTCCTCTCTGTTTTGAAGCGTTTGTAAAAGGAAACAGTCGTAACTGTGTCTGTATGCCTCTGCAGGATGTCCGGATTGATAAACAGCTGCAGTCAGGTCTACGAGTCACAGTGAAGCTCAGTAAAACACAGAATCAAGGTCATTTTCATGACTTTTTTTCCTGACATTTTTGTTTTTCCTTTTTGTTTTAAATTTGTTTCTTCATCGTGCATGTTTGTTTAACTCCCTGCAGAAAGCAGACTTTATAAAGGTGTTGTTGTGGCTCCTCATGTGCCAAGAACTGAAGGTGGTCTTTACTGGGGTTACACTGTCCGCCTGGCATCCTGTCTCAGTAAGTGTCCTCTCTCAGTCTCCTTTTTTATGCTTGTTTAAGAATCAGTGTAACTATTTTACCTGCGGCTGCTACTCTGTCTATTCCTGCAGGTTCAGTTTTCACACAAAGTCCGTATAAAGAAGGGTATGATTTAACTGTTGGCACCTCAGAGAGAGGCACCAACGTGGATCAATCAACACTCCCACCATTCAAGTAGGTTCAGAGCTCGTTAGATAATTAAATCAACATTTAGGTGAGTTTTCCAAGTGCTTTAAGCTCTTCATTTTCATCCTGGTAATTTTTCTAGGCATCTATTGGTGGTGTTTGGAGGACTTCAGGGTTTGGAAGCCAGCGTAGATGCGGACCAGACCCTGGATGCAACTGATCCTAGTCTTTTATTTGACATGTACCTCAACACGTGTCCCAGTCAGGGCAGCAGGACCATTCGAACAGAGGTGGGAATGTGTACGAAGTCTGTTGAAAAACTGATTCAGTCTCCACTGAACTTGTTTGCTAAAACCTGTCAGTTATCCACGTAGTAACTTTATTTCCTGTCTTTTGTTGACAGGAAGCGATCCTAATTTCCATGGCAGCACTGAGACCAAAGATCACAGCTGTCTTTTCAGATGTTTCCAGTGATTCATGAACTGATTATGCTGGCAGATGAGTCATCTGACTTATGTATCAAACTTTTATTTGTATAACTGTGTAATGCAATGGTCTGACTTTGTTTCAAAACAGCCCAACTAATAAATTAATAGACTTGCATTCTGTTTTTTTTCCCCTTTCAGAGCAAAAGGCTTTTCCTGTTGTTGAAAAATAGAACAGAATCGTTCATTTAAAGCACCACAACATGGACAAACAATCAGTACACGTCAGTTTTATATTTCAGGTATCCAAGCAACTTTTTCAAATATATCTGCATTGAGGTGGATACATCTTTTCAAAAAGGGTCAAATTACAGAAATTCCAGGTTTCAGATTGTCAGTGCAGTCACATTCAGCTGCAGTGCATGCTGCATGCATCTACCCCTTTAAATCAGAGCTATTCAAACTCTTGTTTCCTGCACTTTTCTTTTGGACTATCTGTGTGGCGGCCATGCGTCTTACTGAAGTTAGGTGGAGAGAAAAAAGGTAATCTGCTAAAATTTATTTTTCTTATCTGTGGCATAATGTCTTATTTTTAAATATTTGAGTTTGGTTAGTTTTATAGCACATTCTGCGTTTTAGATTGTAAATTAACCTAGCACAAAAAAATCAGGAAATTTGTTGGTAGATTGTTTCTTTATTGTAAAAATGCTTCTTGGTAATAAATATACTGTTAGAAAGCCTGTTAATTTCCTTTTTAAATGGTGTCACATTTGTAAGGAACATGCATTTGTGGGATGAACCGAATATGTAGGTTGCGCACATAAAAAATTTGCCAAATCTCTGCCTAACAGCTTATTTTGCTGCTGTTTTGACACTTGTTTTGAGCTTCTGGTACCCCCAGGTGCTGCCAATCAGGTGACTGGTATAGGATTTATTTCCAAGAAGCATTGTTACAAATTTCCTTACTTTTTGTGCAAAGTACATAGTAAACGTTCAGTTTTCAAAATCACCTAAAAATAAAAAATAAAATAAAAACAATTAATGCAGAAACTGTTTTACAAAACAATTGAGAAAGGCCATCAACTTAACTGTTCTATTTTTTGTAATAAGATACCCGAGTATAACCTGCCTGAAAATGCATTCTGTGGACAATTTAAAGATGTTTTGAAACAGAGGCCAAATAAAAATTTCAATAGGCACATTTGCTTCCAATTGAATATTTCTTCAGGCTGTTTTCATATTGGTTTAAGAGCTGAAATTTTTTAAAATGTCCATGTTTCTGTAATAAACAGTGTTTATAATACTGTACTCTATGATAAGGCCCCTGTATGGACTGTTTATAGGCTGGATTTATAATTTGGCCACAATAGCTTTAAAATACGACCTCTTTAAAGTGAATTTGTTAAGCCACACACACACAAATTATACACACTACCAGTTAAACGTTTGGACAAACCTCATTCATTGTCTTGTTTTTTCTTACATTGTAAATGAAAACTGAAGTCACCCAGACTATGAAGACACAAGCTACAGAAACAACCACAAAAAAGAAAAATTACAACAGCATTTAGAAGTTTGATTTACGGTAGGTCGTGCCTGGTCCTGGATCACAATAAATGGTGATAATTTATGAGTGTCAAAACAATAAACGCTGATTCAGGCAGCAACTACTGGCAATTTTTTTTATTATTACCTCATAAAGCTGATTGAGAGAATACCAAGAGTGTGCACAGTTGTAATCAAAGCAAAAGGTGCTTCCGTTTTGAGATTTCCACATAGTTCCCTGTGTGTTTCTTCATAGTCTGGATGATTCCAGTATTAATTTACAATGTAGGGGAAAAAAATCAAATGAAAATGTGTGTCCAAACCTTTGACTGGTAGCGTCGATATATATAAAGGTACTTGCTGATATAATTCTCTTTAAATATGGAAAGTGACTTTACTCATACATAATAAAAAATAACATTTGAATTATATTTACAAAAAAATCCCTTGTTTCAGTGCCTGTGTTTTGGCTCACATGTATACAGTGCTTCAGAGGCCTTAGAAATGAGTAACTGCACTTCTCTGCAGTAGGAAACATCCCCACATCGTTCCCATCATTTGGTCCAACAGCACGTTTATCCCATGATGCTCCATACTTCTGGCAGATTGAGGATGATCACTTTTTTTTTAAATGAGGTCTTATTTGGCAAATTTTATACGAACTCCATCCCATGGTGCTTTCCCAGGCTTTAGTGAGTGCCCTTTCTCACCATGTGGGGTGAGAGAATGTGATATTGTACAGCTTTGCCCAGCGTGCAAACACATGTTTCTCTGTAATAAAGCGATGATGGCTTCCTCTCCGGCTGCTTTCATTCTGGATGTACATGAGACATTCATCGGAGCCCCTGGGTTTGTAATAGTGGTAGGGCATCTTCTTTGATGCAGGTTTTTTTCTAGAAAATAATACACTTTAATATCATTAAGTACCAGTTTGATCTTGGGTGTATTTTAAAATAAATGTGATCAATAAACTTACCCGCAGTAACTGGGTGGAACCATCCCATATACTTTAATGTTATCACATATCTCAATTGCTATGACCATTGTGAACCAGCCTGTACTCAACCATGAGTGGGATTTTTGTCTGTGGGGGGATAATTTAGTTTAAGTGAAGGTTCCCAAACATGCACACCAAGATGTGGTTGTTTAACAACTTCTCTAAGACTCACCTGTCTCGTCCTGTCTCTGAGTGAAACAGGTTATCAAATTTTCGCATCCTGTTGGGTGAGATGGTAAAAAAGGAAACGTTGCTGTATGTCGTGCTGACTCTCTGGATCAATCTGTACAGCGTTCCTTTAGCATTTTTCTCGATCTTATTTGGCGGTCCCCAGTAGACGATCGTAAAGTTGCCGTCGGTTTGGCGCAGGTACTCGTTCGGCTGTCGGACCACTCTGAACACGCTGGTGTGAGCTACTACCCTGAGGGTGGTCCGGTGCCCGATGTCAGACTCGTACCCTAGAGTGGGAGCGTCGTTCATACGAATCACACACTCCGTGCGATCGATCTCCTCTCCTGCCTGGCTAGACAGGACGTGGCTGGAACTGGTCACCAGTGCACAGTTCCCACAGTGCAGAGCTAAACTCTGTGGGGAAGAACACAATAAAGAAATTAAAAGTACCAATGATTATGAACTACTACAGGTCCACAGAGTGAGTTGAGCTAAAATTAGTAAGTTGGGATTTGTGTGTTTCTACACCACCAGTTAAAATACAAGGTGCAGAACAATATTTCCATAAAATACAAATATTTTTGTATTTCAGCTTACTTTGTTCCCAGATATTGGCACAAAGCCATCTTTCCTGGACCACCTCTTCAGGTCTGTGGTCTTGTTGATTTTCATTGTCGCCACATGGAAAGGAGTGTAGACTTCTTCGCTGACATTATTGGAGGTGTAGAGGATGAGGATGGTCATCAGGATGAAGATGGCTAAGAATATCACCACCCTATGACTCTGTTGACTCTGCAATATGGACAACATTGATAAAAATGTTCGTATAAAACATGTCTTTACACGTTTTATCAACATAATTATACATAGTTTATAAGTCCAGGAATCATAAAGGTTAGAAAAAAGCACACTGAACTTATTCTACAGGGTGAGCCAAAAGTCTTATCTCAGATTTTAATTGCCACAATCAGATTTACATGTGCTATGCATGCATGTGATATGCTAAATGACCACCTTCCAATTGGAAGCTTTTGACTTTGAGCCAATGGTGGATTGATTCAAGATGGCGGCCATGTTCCAGACATAGCCTAAAGGACAGGTCCACTCTCCCATTTCTTGTTGGGGTATTCAAATATTTCCTTTCCCTTTTAATTAAAAAAAGGGTGTCCTGAGGCTTTTGACTCATGCTGTACAAATTTTACTTAGATTTGAAGTGAACAATCTTGTCTCAATAAAACTCCATTACTTTTTTTTCCAGTTGCTGTGTTTTGTGGGAGGAGTTGGTACTGAACAGATCTGTGAAATGTGGAATTGATTGTGAAGTGCCRACATAATCCCTTTATGAGGTTCGAAGTGTATGCGCAAGCATTCACTCGAACACAGAGCAAAGGTCAGGTGAAGGTCAACTACTCTGGTTGACTTAGGTGGAAACACAGATTCACGGGGCCTTTCGTGCATGAAAATAAAGACCAGCGGGGTGATTGAAAAGTGAACAGAAGTTTCACTTGTGATTGTGAAGCTGACAAGTCTGGGGAGTGGAATGTACTTTGAACCCTCCACTCGGCAGACTCTCTGCTGATGTGTGCTTTGAGTGTGATAAGGCTTACATAATAAACTGACAGGGCCCTTGTGTGTTTTATGTTTGTTTGACTGCTGGTACACTGAACTGCGTGTGTAGCTTTGTGTAAAGGTGTGTGTGCTGGACTGAGAAGTGCGCTTGAAGAGGACGCTGGTGTGAGAGATTGTGAGCATAACTTAACTGATTAAGTGTAACAAATAAATTAATAAGCACCTAAAAATAAATACAGTTAATAAATATATAATTTAGAAATGGAAGGCAAGTTTGATCGTGAGAAGACTTTAGGAGTGCAGAAATGGGTATGTTAGTTAAGAAAAAGTGATAAAGTTCGTAAGATGTTCTTGTGGGTAACAGTGGCCAGAAACTGGCATGTTAAGTCGCAGAAGGTGGTTGATGTTCTTACAGTTTGCTGGATGGTTGTTGTGGTACCATTGTATTATGTGTTAAGTATTTAGAATATTAGTTTCACAAGCAAAGAGCTGATTTATAAGTAGTGTGACTGTTGAGGTCTAGTCTGTGCGTCTGTTATCCGAGTAGTTAATGATGTCAGGAGTTACATCATTCATGGCCTTTGTCCCGCTCAGTATGTTTAAAAGACCTGTGGGCCGACAGGGCCTGATACCCCAATTCTTACTCAGTAGTAAAAGAGGACAAAAGCAGACCTCACCAGAGGAAATGTCAACATGGAGGTAGAAAGAAGCCAGCAGGTAACAGGGAGTGTGGACAGAGTGCATGAATTACGACAGGTAGACACGACGCAGTGGTATGATCAGCTAAAACACAGATAAATATTAATTTGACTAACTCTCAAGTTCTTCTTAACAGGTGTGAAATTCGACAAAAGAATAACTAAAGCAGAAATGTTGTGTTGTGTGTCCATATGTGTGGCCACTGTCCTGTCCTGTTTGTATGTGTGTCATGTATGTGTTCACGAGTCATGACTCATAGGATTGGAGGAAAATAATTAATTAAGTTAAAACCCAACAAAATTAAAGGGTAAAAAGTACTTTATGGGAAAATGAATTAAGTCTAATCTAACATGGATTTTTGGAATTCCATTTCATTTCATTATATTTTAYAATAGAAAACTTTAAGACAAAATTAATTAAGGCCTTAACTTATTGTTTATTGATTGTGTGGTATTTATCCAAGCAAAAATGGACACGACTTATTTTTTGTTTTGGTGCAGGAACATGTGTTCAGGGTGGACAAAATAAAAAATAATAAATAAATAGGTTGATCAAAAGTCTGCAAGGGGGTATAAATAAAATAAATTATACATTGTTATGAAGAGTACAGTTGAAAACAGGAAATTTTGGTACAATTACTCAAGTTGAGTGCTCAACTACTTAGAGGGTTTTTTTGCAGAAGGTACTACATTCTTTTGCTTTGGTAAAAAAAAAATATATATATATAACAAAGGTTGAAGATGATGCTAACAGAATTTGCTAAAATACAAACTTGGTTTAAACTTAATAAATTACTGTCAAGTGTGGATAAAACTAATGATATGATATTAAGTACAGTAAGAGAACTGTTGACATTGCATTTAGAGTTGATGATGTTGAGATAGAGCCAGTAAGGTGAAAATTTTTGTGTGTCATCATTGATGAAAAACTGACATGGAGACTATATACGGATCATTTAAAAAATAGCCTAAATAAATTGTAGTATTGTACAAAGTAAAGGGTTTTTTAATGATAAAGCACAGTTTATGTTGCATAATGCAATAATTGTTTCACACTTAATCTATTGTATTGATGTTTGGGTAAAAGTAAGCAAAACAATTACAAATTCTGTTTCTGTTTAAAAATTAAAAAAATAAAAAGAGCCATAAGTGTACTGAGCTGTTAAGCCTCTCAGATTCAGAATTTAAAATTTGATAGTGTGATTTATGTTTTAATACTCTTGTTCAAGGCTCTGACACCTTGAATCAGTATGACAATATTAGGACGCAGGTTTTGGTTTATTAGATTGTTTTATTTCGGGAAATCTAACCTCTGTGCCTAATGTATGCTTAGGATGAAGAATTTTTTTCTATCAAACATGGTTTTAATCCAGGTTAATAGTTATCTTTAACTTCTGCTTAAGTGTTTTTTTTCCTTTTGGTTTTGTTTCTAACAGCAGACAGAAAATGTGTTGTATGTGGGAAAAAACACATTTACAGAGCTTTTTGTTTCATCTTGCTCTGCCTGGAGTGATTTTTTGTTTTATTTTGTTTTATTTTGTTTTATTTAGTTATTTTACAGGCTCACTTTCTAGATCAGCTAAAATCAGCTTGTTCAGAGGACAATTTTATTTTATTTTTTCATGTCATGTTTATACAGTATTTCACATGGGATTGTTTTAAATAACAACAAAAAAAACTTATTGTACATTCAAAAACATTCCAATAGTCACAAATGATGGCATTTTGATAAGCACACATTTTAGAATTTGCTCCTCATATGGAAAAGTTAAAATGAATATCACTTTTTAGTAAAGTTGAATTAATCCTAATATACAAGGTATAGATCCACAACATCTACTTCCACCTGGGATGAATAATACTGAGCAGAACAGTATGAAACCTTCTCCTCTCCAAGTTGAGGGGAGAGAAAAAGTGGCCTTGACAGATTACACCAGACTATAAAAAAATAATAATAAAAACCCTAGACATTATTAAACGTGCCACGATAAGTTATGGTTAGATTGGTTCAAATGTTGGTTTAATGAAAACTGGTTTTGCCTCACAATACTTAGGCTAACACTGTTTAACATTGTTTTTTTGTCTTTTTTTTTTTGATGAATGTGGAGATTGAAGATCATCAACTGTTCTTTCTTTACATTATTTTATCTTTTTAATAAGCCTTTGACCGGTAACTGTGAAACAACTTTTAATATCATCTTCAGATGCCTGAGGTTTAAGCAAGGCTTGGTTAAGTTCCTTTTATTTTATTGTCTTTGGTTGTTTTTATTTTATTTTATTTTGCCCCTTGGTTTTTACTTTTTATTTTTATATTATTATTATTTGCATATTCCCTAAATGGATAACATTTGGGCATGTCGTAAAACAAAAAAAAAAAGGAGTTTGTGTGGTTTGGTTTATAAAACACTTTGTTTATGATTTCATTTTTGGGCATCGATACATATTCTGTTAGGCCTTAAAGTTTGACATGACCAAAGTAAACTACCTGTTTGGTTCCTGAGTTTTCTTCTAGGATCAGGTTGGAAATATGTTTTTCTGTATTGTCTCCTGGAGTGTTTATTTGGGTAATTATCATTTGTTTTCATTTTTTCTTCATGCTTCTGCTCATCTGATAAGTACAGGACTGTTTGTTTACAGTCCAGTAAAGGAGGGATGAGAGACAGAGAGCAAAAAGCCCAAAGTCCTGTCTTGTTTCAGTTTTGTGGATTTTATTTTATTATTTTGGTTTTTCATGTTTTCTGTTTTACTTTATCATGAAAGCCCAAAGTCCGGTCTGACTTGTTTCAGTTTTGTGGATTTTATTTTATTATTTTGGTTTTTCATGTTTTCTGTTTTACTTTATCATGTTTTTGTTTCAATACAATTAATTGTAGGCATATGGCCTCAGATTGCTCAAAATCCAACAGAAAAAGGGTTTTAAATATTATGGATGAAGTCACAATGAGAATTCAATGAATTTGATGCCAACTGCTTGAATTTGTTTTCTTTCTATTGTTTATTTTTCTTTTTGTTTAGCCCAGACTTACTGTTCAGGGTTTAACTGTAGAATTGCCATTAACGGAGGCAGAAGGAGGGACTTTCTTCAAAAGGTCTGATTTTTAATTTATGTCTGCAAAATTAGAGACATATTTGCCACTTCAGGATTAAGTTGTCTAATATTTTTTTCCTTTCTGTTTTTTGTGCTTTCATGTTTCT